GCTCTGGGGGTGCGTCTGCCTTTCTCCTTTTAAAATTCCATTAGAAGCAAAGAACAGCATGGGGGGGGGGGAGGTAACCGAGAGAAACACAGAGTGCAGTGTGTCAAATCCTGCAGCAGATTGTCCGGAGCACGGACAAGCATCGTGCTGGCTACTCCTGGTGTTGATGTGAGCAGAACTCGGATCCGTCTAAGGACACGCGCTGCACGAGCCCTGTGCATCAGCCAACCCTTGGCTGAGGGCAGCTGAGAGGACACTGATCTTCAGGGAATGTTGCTCCTATGCTCGAGAGTCTGCCATGTTTTTTTTTTCATTATTAATAACTGTAAATGACCAGGGCAGAGCCTCCGCTACCGGTTACTGCCCAAACCCCACTGAGACGTGGTTAAAAGTCCTCAGTTATCTCCTGTTTTCTCCCACAGAGTCGAAGCGGTTCCAGTGGGACCCTGGGACTCAGGGCCCAGGTTTGATGTTCTCCAGCTGTTCTGCAGACGTATGGGGCCAGCAGTAACCAACACAACCTCCTGCGGGACACCAGCCCCAAGGCTGCCTGCAACTCGCACGCTGAAGCTGGTGCGCGGTGACAAAGTCTGTTATTAAGGCAACCAATTTCTCCTGGAGACTGTGGCCCCATACAACTGATGTTCTTTGATACCATCAGGATTCAACACACCACTTCTCCTGAAATTGATCTTTGTAATGAAAGATGTGTGCAAGAACGCTTTTAATTGGGACAGTAGGTCTCGACAGGCTCATGTAGACATGGAAATGATATGTCTGAGCCGGGATGGGACTGATAGTTAAGAAGCAGATGAATACTCCATGCAAAATGCAAAGCTGAGTGTTTTCGTTGGTCTTTTCTAACAACGCTGCACCGTGTAAACACAGTGTGTGTAATCTGCATTATGGCACTGAGTGTACATTTATCAACTCTTCTGGCTATTCTTAAATATTATGATCTCTCTTCATGGCTGTTTGTGTTTGTTTTTTTTGGTTGGGGTCTGATATGATTTTGCCTTCCAGGCACAAATCATGCAAATTATGCCCAGAATTAAGAAATACAAAATCTGCTTTCAGAGGTACCCAGGGAACTCCACTGGAATTTGCCTGAACCTCAAGGTTGAATTTTTTTTCTCCTCTTTTTCTCCCATCTGTCTCCCAGATGCCCCCAAAAGCCGTTAATAGGCAGGAACTGTTTGAGGAGCAGCCATCACTGTGGCTCCAGCATCACCTGTGCTGGGGGGCTGGAGGAGCTCAGCTGTGGTAGCTCATTTGATGGCCCACCAGCTCATCACCCATAAAAGGGAGGCTCATCACACTACTCGGGCTCCTGCCAGTCTGCAAATTGGGGCTGTTTTGGCTGCTCCTACATCTGGGGATCCCACGGGCTGAGGGAACGGCTTACTGGAGACTCTGCTGATGAGTGACGTGGACTGGGCTGGAGCAAAGGTAAGCCTCTTCTTTGAGTCTGTGGATTATGGGTTACATCAGAGCAGGAGGGGTGTAATCCCTGTGGTCCTTGCTGCCTGGCATGGAGGGAGTACTCCAATGGGCCAGGGCAGGGGAGCAGTTGTCTGGGTGACTGTAAACGTAGGGCTGGTGTGAGTGACGCTGCCTCCTGGCTCCTCCTGAAAAAAAAAAACGGGGTACCTGGTGCTGCCCAGGTCGGCTGGCAGGCTCCAACCCGCCTGGTGTGCAGGCAGGCAGCAGAGAGGTTCCCACCTAGCGCTTCGATCCTCCTTGGGCTTTGGCTTTCAAGTGCAAATGCTTGACTTTAAAGGCAGCCAGAGCACAGTGTACATGAAAGAAGAGAGGAAGATAGAAGATGAAGCTCTGAGTGAAGGGGTCAGCCCTCTGAATCCAGCTCTTGCGTGGTTTAATGGTGCATTTTCAGCATTTTCATGTTCCTCTCCTCTGAGCAGCCCTTTTAACCAGCTGCTGATTCCAGCGTTACATTACTTAATGCTCTGTCTTTCTGCGCATCACTTGCGTAAGGTAGATACATGACTATCATGGTCGCGGAGGTAATCTCACCTTTATCTAATGAGAAAAGAGGAGAGCATTAAGGTCCCTCTTAAAGCATTTTTTTTGGCCTGAAACAGAACTTTAACTTATCTTAAAACCAGATTGTTTTGGAAACAAAGCATTCTCTTCCAATCCTTGGCTTTAGTAAAAAACAGGGAGTCATGCAGCGTAACATACACGTCAAGCATGATTAGACTTCCAAGCGGAAATCTTGCTTGCAGAGATTGCTTATTACGCTATAATGGGGCAGAGCGATTAAAAGAAGTTGTGCGTGTGGCTTGGCTGGTGTGGAAAGGAAGCAAAAGAAAACAAATTAAAACAACAGCCACAGGAGATCGGGGTCATTCCTCTGGGAATGAACTGCAGATCTGCACCTTTGCACAGGGTGAAGTGCTTCTGCTGCTGCTGCTGGGTCCTCTGGCTTGAATCACTGACCACGGGCAAGCCCCGCTCCAGAAGGAGGCATTGCTGTTTAATCCTGCAAACAAAATATGACATTTTACAGGCTAGATACGTTTGCAGCCATTAGAAACGGTGTTTATCTCCATGGGCTGTGTGGCGCCTGGGCTGAGACCTTATGCAAGAGCAGACACGTGACTCTGCTTCCTACCACCTCTCAGCTCCACGGAGCTTTTCACAGCATCTGGGAGCAGCTTCCTAAAACCAAGCTGCTTCTTCTGCCCCCTACTTTGGGCAGGGTGGCCCCTGCCTGGGTACAAGCAGGCAGCTGAGGGAAGAGGGGGTGAGGATGACTTGGATGTGAGCACCCAGGCTGTAAGGGCAGAGCAGCCCCTTTGCTTTTTGGCCACTCATTAGCCCAGGGGCACTTTCCAAAAGCCACGTGGACCCGATTGCATGGTGGGGACCACAGCTCTGGCCACGTTCATTACAACCCAGGTGTATTGGGACACCCGTGCTGGGGTTAGAGCCACCCCTACCCCGGCTGAGAGGCTCTGGGCTGCAGTTATTACCCATGGCATGCAGCCCACCAGAACTGCCTGGCCACTGCCAACCTGGCTCCGGGCTTCAAATGAGGAACTGGACTCAGGCTGGAGGAGATAATAACACTCCAGGCTCCTTCACCCTTTTGGAACCAACACTGTTTGTTGAGTTTTCGGTCAGACCTCAGCCCGTGCTGCTTCTCCTAGTTTACTCCTCGATGTACAGGTTTTTGTTACTGCTGGCCAGCCCAAAACTAATTTAGTTTATTGCTTAACTACAAACAAGCATTTCTCTGCTTTCATGAAGTGTAGCTAATCAGACTCGGTTTTCGCGCGTTCCTTGGATTCTTTATGTAGGTCAGTACTCTTCCCTCCACTTGTGCACACCTTTATTTTGCCAGGGTTTGTGAAGTGATGCAGCTTTTGCAGAAGGGTGCTTTCCCCTCCTTTCCATGCAAAACCAAAGCTCCACTGATGCCTGTTGGGAGAGCCTGGCTCTGGGTCTTGTCAGTGTGAGCCTGTTTACTATTCACAACACTGTCTTGAAAAGCTGATTGCACTGCAAGGTCAGTGATGAAAACGACCGAGTGCAACTTTATCTCAATGCTGCAAGCAGTTAATTAACATCAGTAAATTGTTTAGTGCAATTGCCTCCATAGGTCAGCCCCTCCCACTAAAGAAAGCCTACATTAGTTTTGAAATTAAATTGCCTGTTAGCAACAAAGACGCTTGCTTTATTAAGCAGAGTCTCTAAGATGTCCAACACTGAAAGCCAGGATGCCATGAAGGATCTGTTTTCGTGAAGGAAATAAAAGGATCCTTTCATGCCAAGCTGTCAGGGTGGCTTTTCAGCAAACACGGCTGCTGTGGGAGATGTCCCCACAGCCCCAGGGGATGGTGCAGGTTGGAAGGGATCCATTGGAGCAGTGGGAGGTCCCGTGTCACCCGTCCCAGTCTGGCAGTGCTATGGAAGACTTGGCAAGTGCTTCTTGTACTGGAAGCACTTAGACAAAGTCTCATCTCGTGTGGGTGCTGGGTTGCAGGAAGCCCAAGTCTCTGGTTCAGACTCTTCATTTGCAATGCCCGGCTGCTGCCTGCCTCACCCACACTCCTCAAGTCAAGACATACTCAAGGTTAAAACTCTTTATTTAGCTTCACCAGAGTTTTGGCTCAACATAAATCTGTACTACACAGTCATTTTCTGATCATATACAAGTTTATTCCAGAAGTAAACCACCTCTGTTGTAAAAGGTGTGCAGCGGAACCACTGACAGCATGAGCTGGGTCTGAAAGGTGCGAGGAGAGTTTGAAAGAGAACGAAATGGCATGGTCTCAGGCTTGGCATCTCTCTTATTTTGGGCAGCACTTCTGGTTCTGCCACCAAGGCAGAGTCTGTCGCTTCGTAACTGTCACTTTACGATGAAGGTGGATGTTTGTGTGTCTTCTAAGAGCTGTATCTAGCTGTAGGGCTGGATATGAGAGCAGGGTAGTGGAGGAGGATGTCTGTGCAGCCGTCCAACCTCTCCCGTGCCCCTTGGCCTGACAGTTCTGTATGTGGCAGCGGTAGCTTTTGGGAGGCACTCGTGGCGCAGCTGAATGCTCAGGCCTCAGAAGCTTTGATAAAGTTAAAAACAAACAAACAAAAAATCTTAAAATCCTAAAGGAGCAGCAGAGTCCTGCAGTTTGCCCCCAAGAGGCTTTATCCATGTGCACCCCTTTTAAAATAAGCCAAACCCCCAATTCCACAGCTTCCCTGTTGTGATGAATCCCCAAATGCGTTAAAGACCTTGTAGGAGAGTATACCCCGTGCTTTCTATAAATAGCTCATATACACTTGCTATATACAAAATATACACGTGTACATGCGGTGTTACTTTATTTGGTGCGAAGCTCCAAGCGCCTCTCGTGGTACCGCTCCCGAGATGCTGGAGTGGGAGATCACAGCAGCAGACACTTATGGTTGTGCTGCCTGAGGGCAGGCAGTGAAGGCACCTGGATCTGGGGTGAAAAGCCCCATTTTCTGCAGCGGTGCAGCTATTCCTTCAGCAGACCGAGCTTCTTCAGCGCCTCTCTGCGGTTCTCGTCGGTCGCGCCCTTGGGGGAAATCTTGACGCTGACACAGGAGCGGGGTGGCCTGGTGAAGCTCTGCAGCGGGTGGGATCGCCGCTTGCTCTTCTCCTGCTCCGCCTGCCCGGGCTCCTTCAGACCAGCCAAGTCCCTCCCTGCCCCGAGAGATGGTGGCCGGGGGCGGCTGTTCCTAAGGAAGCTCGGGGCAAGCCGCTCGATGAAGGACATCTTGCCCAAGGAACTGCTGGTCTTGACATTCTGCTCCTTGGCGTTGGCCATGTAGCTGCCCAGCCCCACGCCGGAGCGCTCCAGGGTGTTGGATTTGAAGGTCATGGGCCGGGTACCCGGCACCAACCTCTCTGCTGCCCCACAGCTTGCCTCGGGCTCCCCGGAGTCGGAGAATGGCATCTCTCTTGGCTGGCAATGTGGGATAGGTTGAAGGTGGGTGCTGGGCTCCCTCCTGTCCTGTGACAGTCCAAGCTTCTCCAACGCCTCCCGTCGAGCTTTCTCCCTCTCCTTGGGGTCAAGGTGCCCTGAATTCACCTTTTCAACAGTGACATCGCTGGCAGAGCTGGGCTGAGATCCAGATGAGGGTGGAAGTGGTGCTTTTACCTTCTGGCTGGGCTCCGTGGCAAGCGGCACTGAGCTGATTTTGCTGGTTTTCAGGATAATATTTGGTGGCAATTTTCGTGGTTTGGGGGCAGTTGGTGGCCCACGCTTGGCATCGGGCTCCTGAGGTGTCTCTTCCAATGTGGGTTTCTCTGGTTGGACCCATGAAGTCCAAGTCTTGGTCTCCTTGGCTGTTTCCCTCTTGGCATCTGAGCGACTCTTTCGTGACCACTCATGGCTCACCAGGTCATCCTGGAAGGGATCTGGAGGCTGGATAATCAAAGATCCGAGGGACTTCATCTGGCTTCTGGTGTTGGCTTGGTCAAGCCTGTTGTCCTTGGCCATCTCCTGTGAAGATTTATCTCCTGGTGCTGGGCCCTCCACTGTGCGGACAGTCGCTTTGCTGTCAGAAGCTCCGTTTGCTACAGGGACACTCCTTGGAAGACTGTAATAGCCTGGGCTTGGACCTGCTGCTGGAGCTGAGCTGGAGAAGGCAGAGATGCTCTTGCCACTGTTCTGCTCAGCTGCACACTGCTGGCCTGCACTCGGAGGGGGAGCCCCGTTCTCCAAATCTAGGCAAAGAGAGAGATGTGGAGTAGCCATGAAGGATTTGTTTTGATGAAGGAAATAAAAGGATCCTCTCAGGCTAAGCTGTTAGTGTGGCTTTTCAGCAAACACTGCTGAAATCCAGCTTACCCCGAGGAGCGGAGTCTCTCTTTGGCCACGTCCTGGGCAGCTTGGAGGGCTCCGCGTAGTCGGTCTCATCAGTAGAGACCCCGCTGTCTGCCTCTGCGCCAAGCGAGCCAATAGTTTCTTCTAAAAACATCAAACGCTCTTTCTCTTCCACAGATAAGTAGTCATAGCTGTTATCACTCTGAAAATAAGAAAAAAACCAAAACAGTATAGTTAGGATTTTGTTGCATTTCAAGCGTGACGAGATATGATTGCTGTGGAAGTGCCAAGTTACAAGGTGATGCGTGCAATATACCGTGAAAAAACTGAAGTGCAGGGAAGGAGGGAGTGTGCATCAGATCAACAAGCATGGAGCAGAAATTATCCCAGGTGGAGTTGTTTTGCAGCGAGACGCTTATCCAAATCTTTTATCATGCAATATTGCAACCAGTTTTTCCATCCCTAATAAATTTCAGAGGGTTTGGTTCTGGTTTGCAATACATCAAATGGAAAACCTGTTCAGGACTGAGCATTGCATTTACACGCATCAATTATGTTCCAAGTCAGACAGGATGTAATTAGTCCATCAATCTCGGAATCGGTGTTCGGAGACAAACAAGCTTTAATGGACAGATAGTGAAAAATTACACCTCTACACCCATGGTCCAAACTCACCTCTGCCTTAACTAGGAAATTAATCTTTTGTCAGCTGGGAGGAGTACGGCTTGCTGTCTCTTCCAGGTGAAGTCACCCTTCATGGAGCCAGCCTGACCCAGTTATCCCACTGGTCTATCTGGGGAACTCGTCGTGCTCCTCCTGCCCCGTGCCTGCACTATCTGTCTCTGCAGCTTCGGGCAACGCAGGAGCCGCTGGGCTCTTGTTATTTCCCAGAGGAGATTCTGCAGGAGCACGAAGGCTCCTGATTGCTGCCACACGTGCGCCAGGACCGAAAGTCTGGGAATGCTTTGGGGCACGAATTAATCTGATGCTTGTGCTGCCCTGAGCACAGCGCTGCCTCGAGGGCCCTCGGGTGCTTCCAAAGCACCAATGGAAAGCTGTTACAGGCAGAGATTTGACCAAAATCCTTCCTCAGCTGGCGAGAGGGGGGAGCTGAGCCCCTGCCATGCCTGGGCTGGGCACAACG